CGGGGGCTGCAGCGGCCATGGAGAGGCACTTCTCCTATGGCCCCAAGCTGCTGCAGTGAGAGAGGGCTGAGGTTGTCCTCTCTTCCCGGAACAGCCTGCCTAATGAACCCTTCACTCTCAGCCCCACCCCACAGCAATGATTTAAATAAAGCATGTACAATTTCATTTTCTTTTCTCCAAAACAACATTAATTGATTTAAGGACCTGAGCAACACTGGATAAATCTTCTAGTTTTATATAAAATAGTTCTGTAAGTATCCTAAGATACGTGTTCAGAGTGAAGTTTAAGCACCTCTAAAATTGCCACTCCTAAGTATTTTACCACTGGTTGGTTGAAAACAATGCTATTGTAACCCACGCACCTATGCTATGTCTACACTGCAGGCTTCTAGCGCAAGACTTTTTGCGGAAGAGATCTTCCGCAAAAAGTTCTTGAGCAAGAGTGCGTCCACACTGCCATTGACGCTCTTGAGCAAGAAAGCTCTAATGGCCATTCACGGAATGGCCATCAGAGCACCTGTGCTTTTCCGATGGGGGTTTCTTACTCAAGAAATCCCTGTTGTCCGTCCACACATGCCTTTTTGCACAAGAGTTCTTGCGCAAAAAGGCTTATTCCTCATAAAAAGAGGAATAACTCTTGTGCAAAAAGCTCAGTCTTCTGATAATCAATTGTACTTTTTCTTATGCAAAAGTGTGCTTGTAGTGTGGATGCTCCACGAGTTTTTGCACAAAAACAGCTATGTTTGCACAAAAACTCTGCAGTGTGGTTCATAGTGGCACCTTTAAACCAGGGCAACAGAAAAGAGACTTCTACAGGTTGGGCCAAGAGCCAGCTGGTTTTTAGCTCAAAGACTCCTATACTAAGCTCTAGCTGTCCCATGTTGAAATCCGCCTGATGGCAGTTACACTATAGCTACCTGAAATGGGTTTTTTTCCCCTTTACTGTCAGAAACTCTCACTCTATTTTTATAACAAAATGTGTATGTGGGCTAACAGGTTTTATGCCAAGTTTAAGCCCAAATGGCTGAAAAAGATCTGAAATATAAATCCTTAGAGATTGGGTTTACAATGAAAAGACCAAGAGACCTTTAGGTATGATGCAGTGGTATTAGCAAAATGCTCCTATCGTGCTGTTTTAGTATACAAAAGAGAATGAGCAAATGCTGCTCATAAGATGTGCAGCAAAAGGTCACTTCTGTGTCTGATATAAAAAGAATGTCATAGCATAATTTTTCCTGTAATTAATTTTGTTTTATAAATCCACATAAGGACTGCACACATTTTCTTTTTGATCTTTTTTTCTGTCCCAGTAGGGCTTCATACAGACCAAGAGCAACAGAAAAGAATGGGAGCAACTGAATCACTAGTGTTGAGGAATAATAATACACATGCCCACCACTCCCATCTCTTTCTTCTCCCCAAACTAAATAAAAAGTGAAAATAAAAATGAGTTAAAATAGGAAACAACCAAAAAACACTCACACAGACCTCAAACCAAACTGGTTTATTTTAGAAGTTAAATTTAATTGGGGGTAGGGGAGTGTTCTGTTTTCCACTGCCCACATTTTTCTTCCCTTTCTGGTTTTGACTACCATGGTCATCGTTGAAATATCAAATGTATCAACAGATTTTACCTGATATCTGAGATTGATCTCAATTAGTAGTCACTCTATCATAAGAGTGAAATCCATTTATGCAGGAGACAGAATCCATACTCTTGAGGGGGAGAAAAAAATCAACAAGTCACTTTATATATCCGAGGCCAGCCTTACTGATTAATGCATCTCCGGAAGGTGCTCGAGTATACTAGGCATGGGATAAAAATCTAAATAGCAAAGAACACTTAAGTAATTTCATATTTAATATAGAGAAATAACTGTGGGATCCTCTATTAGGCAAATAGTACAGTAAATATACCCCCCCCCCCAAAAAAAAAACCCCAAACAAACCTTAGTTGTAGTATTTTTGGAAGTTGTATTATTCTAGAATATTCCTGTGGAGACATTCTAGTGCTATTGGCTCCCATGTTTTCAGGTGGATTACTCACCTCAGAGGCACATAGCAGCCCTCAGTTTAGACACCTTGCTGTTTATTGTTTTCACTTCTGGCAGCAGGCAGTGCTCCACCCCTACTCCCAACGCTCCCACTGTAGTTCTGGAGAATCATGACACTGTTCTGGATATGGGAGATAAGGAATCACCACCTAACGGAGAAGAGGAGAAGTCTTGTACCCCCAAGGCTGGGAGGTTTGCAGCCACTATTGTGAGGAAGAAATGTAGAGTAGTGGAGATTGGAGACTCTCTTCTCAGGAGGATGGAGGCACCCATCGGTTGCCCCAACATGTTATCTCGGGCGGTATGCTGCCTGTCAGGGGCCCATATCTGAGATGTTACAAGGGTACTGTCACGGTTGATCTGGCCCTCTGACTACTACCCCATGCTACCCATCCATGTGGGCATGGGCGGATATAGGGCAGGGTGAGCGGGGTGGCCGCCTCAGGTCCCACGCTTCAAGAAGTCCCACTCGTGCACCGTGGCGCCACCGCGCATGCGCCATGTCAAAGGGGGTGCCCTGCAAAATTGTGCTGCCTGGGCCCCGCAAAATCGTCATTTGCCCCTGCATGTGGGCACTAATGATACTGTGAGGAGTGACTGAGAAGAACAAGAGTGCCTACAGGACTCAGGGAGTATGGGTGAGGGAGTTTGGCGTGCAGGTGGTATTCTCTTCAGTCTTTCCTGTCAAAGGTAGGGACCTAGGCAGAGACAGGTGCATTCTGGAAGTGAATGTCTGGCTTCCTTGACCACGGGGTGCTGTTCCATGAAGGACTGCTAAGCAAGGATGGGTTGACCTTTCGAGGAAGAGGAAGAGAGTATCT